CCTGACCTTGAGAATAGGTAGAATTTCTTCCAACTTGAAAGCAACTCTTTACACTAGCAGGACTTTTTCCATATCAGTGTAGCTGCAAGTTGAAGATAATATTGCAATTTTTAGTGCCAGCTGCCTGGCCTCAGGTGAAGTGTGGGTTTTCTGGGTGCAGAGATTTCACCCTCTCTTCCTGTCAACACTGCCTGTACTCTCCTTGTATCCCCCTACTCCTTCCCTTGAAAATTTACTAGCAATGTTTAATAACTGTACTTAGGCATTTCATCCTATGGTAATTCACATTTCTTAGGCAAGGTTAATGCTTTCATGGCTTATCAATCTCTTATACAATAGAGTGAATTTTAGATTCTTTTTTTAAAAATTTTTTTTTCAACGTTTTATTTATTTTTGGGACAGAGAGAGACAGAGCATGAATGGGGGAGGGGCAGAGAGAGAGGGAGACACAGAATTGGAAACAGGCTCCAGGCTCTGAGCCATCAGCCCAGAGCCCGACGCGGGGCTCGAACTCCCGGACCGCGAGATCGTGACCTGGCTGAAGTCGGACGCCTAACCGACTGCGCCACCCAGGCGCCCCTTTAGATTCTTTTTTGAGGAAAAGTTTTGAGAAACATGAAAGGCCCTAAGAAAATTTGACTATGTAAGGAAGATATAATACAAATGGCTTTTTGTTGCTTACCTCAACATGCATTCATTCCCTTCCTTTTTTAATGTATTCTTTTTTTAATGTTTACTTATTTTTGAGAGAGAGAGAGAGAGAGGGAGGGAGGGCATGAGCAGAGAGAGAGAGGGAGACACAGAATTTGAAGCAGGCTCTAGGCTCTGAGCTGTCAGCACAGAGCCCAACGTGGGGCTCGGACTCATGACCTGAGCCACCCAGGTGCCCCCCTTTTCTTAACAACACTATTTTTTGCTAGGTGTGTGGTTGTTCTGTTTAAAGACTACGTTTGCCAGTCTATGGTAGCTAGGAAGGCTATGAGACTGAGACATAGTCAATAGAAAAAATATACATATATACATATGAATATGTATATATATACACGTGTGTGTGTGTGTGTGTGTGTGTGTGTGTGTGTGTGTCTGTAGGGGTCTTCTTAGAAGTTTCCTCAAAAAAACCCAGAAAATTGTCCTTCTTTTCCCTTTTCTTCTCATGACCTACAGGGCAGATAGAATGGCTGGCATTCCAGCAGCCATCTTAAGCCAAGAGGTGGAAGAAACCTCCTGAAGATGTCAGGGTACAGAGAGAACAACTTGAGTCATTAATGACCCAATGGAGCCGCCGTTCTATCCCTGGATATTTTGAAACATGAGAGAGAAAAACACGTCTCTCCTTGGGACATTTTTGATTATATAAAATACAACATTGCTCTGATAGAAGAGATGTCACCAATATGGAGATTGACAGCACAGAAAGGGGAGGTTCAAGTGTAGGAGCTAAACTTCCCATACTTTACAGCTTAGCCAATCCTGTCAGGTGCTAGGATATTACATTCCTTCCCCCAGACAATTAACTTCTTGCCAATATGCTTATGAGTCCTTTGCTCTGTCAATCCTAGTTGTAGGTTGTTGTGTTTTTTGTGGTTTTTTTTTGTTTTTTTCAAAATCTACAGTATCTCCACTTCTTTCAAATCATGTTGTAAGGTCTCATAACAACACTGACATGATTTTAGTTTGATTTTAAACTAGAAATTTTATTTTATTCAGAATTTAGAAGGAATGTTGGCGAAGTCTTTGTATAGTGAACATGAGAGCAATCAAACAGCGTCAGAAAATATTTCCCTAAAAAAGATGAAAAAACAACACTCTAGAAATTTCTCAGTTTTTCCAAAGGCCTTCCTCTTTCATTCTTAGATCATAAATTTCCCCTTTCAGGTGAAGAGAGGTCACTCTTCTGTGACTCTATGTCCTAGGTTTTTGAAAGCAAGCTTTCCTTCCACACTGTTCAACAGTGTGTCTAACAGTCCTTGACAATTAATAATAGCAATAATAATAGCAGCAAGTAGTTAAATAATGTTTGCTCTGCATAGACACTGGTCTACTACTACTACATATAGTAACTTATATAATTATCATACCCTATATAAGTGTTATTACCCTAAAATTGACACATGAAGCTGTTACAAATTGTAACAAATTGAACTGGTTGAATTTGTAACCAGGCAAGTGAGATAGAAAGGAAGGATGTTATGAGTAGATTTGTGTGGTCTTCGTACTCTGTATCGAGCTCACTAATCTCAAATTTATGTTTGCCATATGGCTATAGCAGATTGAGTGGTATATAGTCTAGATTTGTTGTTTCCGTTAGTTTCATGTTAGAATTTTTAATTCTCTGGTCAGCGTCTTTCTTAGTTTTTGGAAATTAATGGACAAGGGAGATGATAAACAAGAACACTATAAGTGTCCTTTCTTTTATGCTTCTTTTATATTTTCAACACAGGTTGAGCTTGGCAACTATGAGCAGATCAGCTAGAGATGTGCCTCAGTCCATCCACATTTCCCTCTCCAGAGTTTGCATATAATTCCAATGCTTGCCATAATAGGACATTTTTAAATGAACTGTCTGTTTGCAGGTGCAGATTGCATCACGGAGCTATTATAAAAGGAGGTATCCCACACAAGTCGTACATGGCTAAGTGCCACAGAGCTGGGATGGATGTGAGGGGGGCAATGAGAAGAGAAATTATTTAATGAGTGATGACATTTGTATTTTCTTATAGAGAAAACCCGACTAACCTCTTTCTAAGCCCAAGACAGTTACTTGGCTTTTCTTGTTTCCTGTATTTATATGCTCTTTTTTTTCAGTGCTAGTCTTTCACTACTAATCTTCTCTTCACATTTTGGCAGCATTTAAGTTTCCCTGAGAGTAAAGATTCTCAGATAACACACTGAGGTAGGTAGTCACTGAGGTAGGATGAAGAGTTTCTCTCTCTGACTTTTACAAAAACATGCTTTAATGTTTTTCTTTTTAATAAAGAAAAATATAAAAATGGGAATGCAAATTATCCACAGTTCTAGCACCCAGAATATCCCTTTTAAAATGTACAAAGGAATAGAATATGATTTGCTTTTGGACACCAGTATTTATCTGGATTGATTTAGTGTGGCTCTGTCTGGAGGCATGGTTCTGGGTGATAACCTCTCCAGATTCCTCCGAGTCCTACTGTGGAGAAAGAGATATTTTGAAAAGGGAAAAACCTTCCTCCTATGGGATTAGCCTGGAATCTGTGCTTGAAGCTCTGGGGCTGAGCGTTGCAGGTCGCGATTGCCCTCTGGTGGTCGTAGACAAGACTTACAGGCAAAGTTTAAATGACAAGCTTGAGACTTTAACAGGCCTTTTGTTTGCCTGGGCCTGGGGTAAAAGTACAAATGGACATCCACATACCGTTTCTTTTCTACACATACATAAATTAGATTATAGATCATCCTAGCAAATAAATAAAAAGTGTTCTATTATACCCTAGAAAAAGATACTTTCAAAATAACCCGGAAGCCCACCTTTAATTTAATTCTCTCCTTAGAATTCCTTATCAAACATGGAGACATGGGGATAGTCGGTCTCAGGTCCAGCCTCACTCTTTCCAGCACTGCTATGTTGCAACTTCCAGGGACCGCTCCATAATGCCTGTAAACACCCCAGCCTCCTGGCTGAGCTCCACGCATATGCCTGCAAAAAGCCTTGTCCTCCCGGAGGGCATAGGGACTTGAATACCAATGGCACCGTCAGAAGCAAACCCAGGAGAGAAGACTCTGTACACACACCCTTGAGGCCATGTGTGCAAGGTATTTGGGCGTTCCAGGCATCCAGAGCATGATATGGAAAATGGTGGTAATAGAAGTGGTAAGAGGGCAGGTCTAGTGACCAAATTGCATTGCCTGAATCTGACTTACTTTTAGCACTGGAAGTCTCATGTTCTGTAAACCCCTTCACTGGGGTATTAAAAAAAAAGCTCCGTTTTTCAACCTTGTGTCAAAAATTAAAAGAAGAGTGAAAAATCCATATGCCTGTAACACTGCTTTAGTATCGAATGGGTATGGTGCTGATCATCCCTCTCCTGTGGTCTTTGTTACTGGGTTTTCCCTTGACCCCTGATGTTGGCAACCGTAGTTCCTGGTTCACAGTGACGTATGACTCACTGCGGCTCACTCTGACCGACGTGACCCGTGACGTGACCCAAGCAAGCGTCTGAAGCGGGTCCTAATCTTAAATAGGAACAGCTGTCGGGGCTTGTGCCCATGGATGACCAAGATAGTAAAAGTGTGATTTTTCACATTGTGAGTATTGTGAGCATGTTTCCTTAACTCTTCTGAAAAGCATAGATAATAAAAATGAAAACAATTACATAGTATTTGTTTAAATAGTCTTACTAATTACCACTTACTGCCACTGTGAACTAGCCAATTGTTTTGTTTAAATAATAGCATTTATGCAACAGAGGCGTAAGTAGTGCTGAATATTGTAATATATTTTCAAATGGATGTTTATTTTTCATATTTTAATGACAAATCAATAACACTTGTGTGTGCCTGTAATTAATTTTTATTATTATTGTTATTATTATCATTATTGGTATTTTGTCTACTATGGGTACCTCTGAGTATGGGTACCTCTATGAGAACCTCTGATGGGTTCTTTAAAAAGTTGATCGTCCTAAAGGCAAGTTCTACTGGCCCCAGGACTCCTTGCCTTGCGAAGAAGGACATGGCCTGTGAGGGGTCGGAGTCAGTCTAAGGTAAATGCTCCCTGTACAGTGCAGGTCAAATTCTGACTGATACCTTAAAAAGAATGTGGACAATTAAAGGCAAATACCATAATTGAGTTTGGTTTGAAACCTATGCAGCTGCCATAGAACCATGTGGGCCAATAGATTTGTGAGTTTACAAAGGAAATTACTTTGCAAGAAAAAATCATTTATTTTTGATGATGCTTACATACAAAAACTCAGTTTTTAATGTTGCTGAGAAGCAGATGCTAAACTGCAAAAATTAACTAGCAATTACATTTCAGAAAGCAATGATATCCGACTTCTTTATTAAGTTTACTGTTAAGTGAACAAAGAAAGAGAAGAGTGTTTCTTCCATTAGCAAAGCAAATAGGACATCTGTGCATAAGAAAATGCAAGACAGAATTTGGTGGGTGAAATTCACTGTTGTGGAAGAAATAATTGCTTTCAGGTACTGCAAGTTTTATATCCCAGATCTTAAATTGGATAGGATCTCACAGGTTTCAAGCATTTCTTTATGGTTGGTGTTTAGTTTTATTTTTATTTTAACCCTATATAGATTGTGTTGAAACAACAAAAAACAAATTTCAGACTAACAACAAGGGAAGAAAAACTCAGTCTCTGAGACTGTCTTTGCTGGACACTCTGTAAATTGAGAGTTTGAGGATCCTGTTCACCTGCATGCAGTCTAAGGAAAGTATAGGGTCTCTGTGCCCCACAGCATGAAGACTGAATGTTACTCATGCCATCTAACTGGTGTTCCTTTATGATTTTTGTTGGCTTGCTTTTAAAATCATCCCTGAGTCCTTTCTAATGTCTTCTAAAAATGACTAAACTAATCCTAACTGCACTTGGGCACAGGATAAAAAAGAATCAGTGTTCCCTTGTCACCAGAAGGCTTAGGTGTGTGGGGGGGTGGGGGTTAGGTGAAGGTGACTCTTATGTACAAGGTTTAAGACTTTAAGGCTTTGCCCCCTTCCCAGGTGAAGATTAGCCCTATAAGGTCAACCTCGAAACAGCGGGTTGTTATTTTTATTAAAAGAGACAATGGTTTCATTCTACACAGATCACCTGGTATAAAGAGCCTTTAGCTGTCAATATAGTCAGATTTTTGTGGGCAGTATTCCATCCTTCTCTCTAGGGGTTTCCATCCAGTGTACTGCCTGTATCCCTACCCAGCATCTCCTGGGGAGAAACTATACATCATTTTTGTACCTCCTGCCCATCATTACAAAAGAGGATTCTTCTCTAATAGAAATGTGGTGAGGGTGTGTATCAGATACCATAACTTTACCCTGATTCAGTTTCTTGTAAAGGAGGCTTGTGATAGCTAATTCTATGTCATCTTGGCTTGTCCATGATACCCAGATATTTGGTCACACATTATTTTGTACGGTTTTGTGAGGGTATTTTGTTTGGATGAGGCAAACATTTAAATTAATGGACTTTGAGTAAAGCAGATTGCTGTCCATAATGTGAGTGGGCCTCACCCAATCAGTTGAGGGCCTGAATAGAACAAAGACTGACCTTCACTGAGCAGAAAGGAATTCTACCAGCAGTCAGTCTTTAGATGGTGATTCCCTGAGTCTCCAGGCTGCTGGTCTACCCTGCAGATTTTGGAATTTCCAACCTCTATAATCACATAAGCCAATTTGTTAAAATTTCTCTTCCTCCCCCCCCCCTCCACTATATATACAGTAAAAGTGGGGTTTAAGGGCCTGGGCAATGTTGGAAGTGGTCAGATGTTTTTCCAAGTGATATGACAAGACTTTGAAGGCTGAGTAATCTGAAAGGCTTGTTTCAAAGGATTAAACAAGCTGCAAGTTCCATTTGACCAGTACTCATACGGGGAGGGGAACTGCTCAGCAGATGCTAACTTGAGCAGAGGCTGCTCCTGATGATCAGGTCCTTCTCCTTGAGGCCATGATTCTAGATTGGCCCTGTGGAATGTAGATACTGTCTCAGATATATGTGTGTGCGCAAAGTGTGGGGCTGGGGGGGGGGGGGGGGGGGGGGCAGGCCTAAATTAATGGAGTTTATCTTAAATTGGCAAGATTAAAGTTTTCTAGCTTTTGCTATCAGATGAAATGAGATCTTGAGATAGAAAATAAATCAATAAAAAGTTACATTTATTTGTAAACTAAACATGTGAGTTTACTATTTATTCCTGTTTCGATCATTTACTTCCAATGGGTCAATTAATTCATTTTACAACTATAAACTTTCGGTGTAGGAAGAAAGAATCATTCTTCCAAAAATAAAGAATGAAACTAAAACAGAATTTGCAAATTGATGAACCATGCCAAAGAGCCTCATCCGTTCGTTCCCACATCGTTAACTATTCATTGTTACACTTGTGACTTCCAAGTCTTATGTGAGCCTCCTCTTTCCTCCACATCGCCCCTGGAGCATTTCCAACCTCCTGCCACAAACTCAGCACACTCAGGGAAAGGAAAGCTGGATGGGGACCACAAAAATTCTCTGCTCTAATCCCTAAACCAGTGCTCAGTAGGAACGTAATAAGTCGTTGACTGACTGAATGAATGAATGCATGCACGAGTATTTAGTTTGCTTTTTAAAGAAATCAAAAAGGGGATCTGTCCACAGGCAATTTGGTTTGTTTTTTGAAATTTAGATTGATTTTCTATTCTTTGAAAATTGAATAGGGGTACACGGGCTCCTCTGTGGGGTTCTGAATGAGGAAGTGTCCAAAGCTGTTTGCTATTAACCAGTAATTAGATAGGGAAAGGAAAATCTCTGACTAGCCATGGAAATTCTCCTCTGTGAAGACTAACAGCTCTCAACAAGGGAGAAGATGGTGTTCTGGAGAGCAGGAACATAAACAGGGCTGAGGTTCCTGTCAGATAACTCCAGACATTCTCATTCTCCAGGCCTACGTGCCCTCCAGTGGGAGAAAGGGCCAGGGGAAACCCGAGTTTCTGGTTTTGCATTCTTGGGAAGAGGGCAGTCTCTTAATCACTTTGGTGGAGAATTGCCTCTAAGGTCTTATCCCTAACACTCTTCAGGAAGCTCAGGACTACAGTCCCACCTGTGCCCCTCTCTTCTAAGGCTAGTGGTGGCCCAGGGACATAGTTCGGCCTCCTGCCCTTTGCTTTGGTGGCTGCTGTGATGAGGTATTTGGTCACCACAGTGATGTGATAGCTGCGTAGCTCTGCCAGGGCCTCCACACACTGGTTATAGGCTGTCAGAAGTTGGCCATTTCCAGAGGACAGAATGTGGTCTCTCAGTGAAGGAGTTGAGTGAATTTCTTCTATAAAGGCCTTGTGGGAAGGAGGCATGTACTCCCTCATCCTGTGCAGAAAATCAGCTGAAAGAAACAAACCAGAACTATGTCATAGCTCCACACGGAAAGATGCGAGAGCCTGTCTGGTTTTCCAGACATCAGTGCAATGAAAACTTGCTGTCATCTAACTTTCCAATCCACTCTGCTGGCTCTTTTGCTTGTAGACTACAAATACTACATTCCTGAATATTGATGGGGAAGGAAAAAAGAAGCAAGTACATCTCAGATAACTGAGTTGGAACCATATCTACCAGTCAATGTGTAAATATGTATCATTTACCCAAGGTAGGCAAAGTATCTTGATGAGACTATCGTCATGAGAGATATCTACAAATGTAAGGCATAAACCCTTAAACCGATTTGCTAAATACTCTCCTGAATTTTGCTTTGTTTGGAGAGTGCTAAGGAAGGGGAAATTAATAGAATTTATAAGGGCAAGAAAATAAAGAGTGAGCAACTGTTGGGGCGCCTGGGTGGCTCAGTCAGTTAAGCGTCCGACTTCGGCTCAGGTCATGATCTCACGGTTTGTGGTTGGAGCCCTGTGTCGGGCTCTGTGCTGACAGGTCAGAGCCTGGAGCCTGCTTCGGATTCTGTGTCTCATTCTCTCTTTGCCCCTCTCCCACTTGTGCTCTCTCTCTGTCTCTCAAAAATAAATAAATGTAAAAAAAAATATTTTAATAAAAAAAAAGAATGAGCAATGTTTTTGTAATAATAGCCTCTTGAAGTCAAGTTGTTTAAAAATCAAATCAATAGATATTTATAGGAAATACAGATAGATTGATCTTTTATAGGAAATTCATTATGTGTTTAATATCATCATAGTTCTTGATAAGTGACTTTTGTGGATGAGACTGGACGCTATTTGACTGCACACCAAATTCTAGTCATTTTTTCCCCTAAGTCCGACTTGAAAATGCCATACTCTGAAGTGCCTTTTTGCAGCTGTTAAACATCAGCTTGATGCTGGCAGGTAAGGAAATGAACAATTTCAAGCTTCTAAACTGGTAGACCTATCTTCTGGTCTAAATAGACTTGACTTGAAGTTGCAGCATTTTTACGGGGAAGGGCTTTGGTGAGGAGCTCAGACCCATCATCAGCCATATCCAGACTTTGTAACTTAATTCCACAGTCTTCAAACTCCGTATCTCTCCCCCATTTTAGACAAAGCAGGCTATTGCCTAGGATCCAAACAAAACTATGGGGAACAGTTGGATATATGGCAATGTTTTAAGATATGGAAATGGAAACCAAATATCCTGCTGAGATCAAATATTAACTGACTTGACACAATAACATCTGGCAGGCACACAGCCTCCTGGTTGACTTAGAGAAGTATAGACTTCATGACATTTTAATTTACACTTGGTCTTATCAATTGGTAAAGACATCTCTGTTCTTCCTCCCTGTTAAGGGACAGAAAGAAAAAGAAAATGTCTGACTTACCACTTTCCTTGCTGTGACAAATGCCTAAGAACTCATCAAAGGCATGAAGCACTGTGCTCTGAGCTGCACTCCCCCCAGAGTATTTCAGGGGCTCTGGGGAGACTCCTTCATAGATCAACCCCACTGGCATTGCTGGGTTATCCTTCCATCTAAGCAAGAGTAAAAGTCAAAGAGAAGAAGTGGGTGCTAGGAGTTAAGAGCATATTTTCTGATACAGCAACAGTGAGTAAGAAAGCAAACACAATTTCAACGGTGTTTTTAGAGCAAAAGACTGGGTATCTTTGTAGAATATATACTTAAGCATACTTCAACTTCATAACAGGCCATTGAATACAGCCCTTCCTTTCCCCAGTTGGAGGATTATTCCAGAAGAGTAAAGGAATCCTTGACATTGATCCTATGACATATTTATTAGAAAAATTCAGTCATAAAGATGACATCAGTGCTGCTCAATAGGAATAATTTAGGGGTTCTGGAATAATCTTCACTCCTTCTGCTCATCTCAACCTTAATCACCTGATACCTTTAACTCCACAAGTAGAGCTTTGTAAGTAAGTACACACACACACACACACACACACACACACACACACACGCCCCTTTGTTTTTCCCTGTAACAGTTTTAACAGTTGTCATGTTGAACTACCAGTGTTAAATAATGCATGACTTTGTGGGAATACCTTTGTCAAATACATTCTTGACAGCACGTGTTGATAATGAGGGCAGCAACAAAGAGAACACAATACAATCTTGCAGGTTACCAGAGGGACAGGTAGATGGACTGGAATTGAGGCTCTGGTCTTGCTCAGATGAAGTGGGTTTTCCCCGCTTCCTCTCCTCTCTTATCTCCTTTCTTCTCCCCTTCTGTCTCCCTGATTCCATTTCTTTGCCTTTTTGTGTCTGAAAATCCCTAGTTCTACCTCCAACTATTTTACTCATTTCCCTGTCACATTTTTTATAGAGTCTTAAACAATTACAGAATGTATGTGCTGACTCCATAAGATAAACAATGGCACCAAGAACACGTTATTGTACTTCCAATGTGTTAGTCTATAAACTCTCTTCACATTCATTTTCTTTTTTTAATGTTTACTTATTTATTTTTGGGAGAAAGAGAGAGAGCATAGGCAGGGGAAGGGAATAGAGAAAGAAAGGAAGACACAGAATCTGAAGCAGGCTCCAGGCTCTGAGCTGTCAGCATAGCGGGGCTCGAACTCACAAATTGTGAGATCAAGACCTGAGCCAAAGTTGGACAACCGACTGAGCCACCCAGGTGCCCCTCACCTTCATTTTCTAACTTGACCTCTTTTGAGTAGATGAAGGCAGGTGTCTAAAAACCCATTTTACAGATAAGCAAACAAAGGCTCTGAGCAGTTAATTCTCCAGGGCCACACTGTTCAAAAATGGGAAAACCAGAACTTAAATCCCAAACTTGTACTTCTCTATGTTCATTTTCTCAAGACCCCCACATATGGATTTCCACTTTTACTAAGGAATAGAATCTTTTTTCTCTTATTGCCAGGAATGAGCCACTGTCCCTGCTTTGAACGTTTAAATAACAGGCTTACAGTGGAAGATGTCTCATCTTCTTCCTATAATTCTAAAAGTCATTTTGCTCAAGAGAAGGAAAATGCATCACACACATAAAAAAAGCTGTAGCCAGACTGCTCAGCTGGCTGTTCATGACCTTTGTCAAATACTTCCTTATGGTAGGAAATGCTATAAGGAGCTGCGTTGTTTGCATTGGAGAATGGTTTGGTCAGCCGTTCTACGGTTTCCACTGGATGAACGTCAAAATGGCCTTTTTAGGTGGGGTGACATCACTCTGGAAACAGATGAGGCATAGACAGCAGAGCAGGGGGAGAGCAAAGGAAGGAGTCTGATCATAAGAGGAGAACATGAGGTAGCTCTTGGGTAAGAGGGCTCTATTTCAGGCAGATAGAAAATTTAATCTCAACTTTGATATTTATTAACTGTGAGCCTTGGTTAATCAACCTCTCTGAGCCTCTAGTTCCTCACCCAAGTGATATTAGGATCTACCTTATTGAGTTCTCGTGGGAGCCAATTAAAATAATACCTGCTCAGTGCGTGGAACATATTAAGCATTTGCTAAATATTAGCCATTTTACATTATTTAGAGTGAGTTGGAATCCCGCTCCCTCCATTCATTATTTTGTACATTTGTACACACCTTCCTGAGACTTAGTCCTAATTTGCACCTACTTCCTAAAGCTGCTGCATAATTAAATGGGTTCCAGAGAATTTTCGTGACTTGTCAGAGTTCAGGACACTGCTCCAATGAAATTTCTAAACAGCATTTTAGAAATATTTGGAAATAGGGAAGAAATATTGAAAGCGTGAGTAAGTGGAAGAGAGGCAGTGGTCACACTGGTTCAGGGTTGTCTCTGCCATGTTGTGGATGATCTCAGATGGTCACTTTGGTCTCTTTCAACAGTCCCTCCTCATCATGACCACTTTGGTGTTGGACTTTCTCAGAGCTCAGTTTATGGGATTCTTGCTACTCTCACTTCCCAAGTGCTCTTATCTACTTCACTGATTTAAAAACCAACTATATTAGGAGTCTTTAAAAGTGTACACTTCTACCTGGACCATTCCCCTACGTTCCAGACTCATATATTAAACTGCCAACTTACAGATATCTCCACAGAAATGGACATGTCCCAAACTGAGCTCCAGATATCCCCTCCCTTTTGCCAAATTTCTTCCTCCTACAGTCTTCCCCATCAGAGAAAATGGCAGCTCTATTCTTTCAGTGGATTGGGCCAAAACCCTAGAGTCATCTTCGACTGATCCCATTTTCTTCCTTCCTCCTGCAAACCAATAGCAGATCCCATCAACTCTACCTTCAGTCATTTCCAGAACTGAACATTACTCAATGCCTCTTCGGCCACCACCCTAGTCCAAGCCATCACCCTGATTGTGGGCATAGCTTCTTGAACATTTTCCTGGCTTCCATTCTTGCTCTTCAATTATCTATTTTCCACGTTAGAAAATAGAGCGATGAGTTGAATTAAGACAGATCATTTCATTTGTCTCCAGACTTGCCTCTGCTGCCCTTGTCTCTCAGAAAGTAGCCAACAAGCCCTGACATGATCTGGTCTTCTGCTGTCACTTGTATCTTTCTCATTCTCCCCCATACACACTGCATTCCAGTGCTGCTATCTTCCTTGCAACAATTCCTCCACGACAAGCATGCTCCAATGTAAGGACCATTGCAATTTTTATTCCTTTTGCTTGTAACAAGTATCCAGGTAGCTTAGTCCTCACTGCCTTCAGTTATCTGCACAAATGAAGTATGGCATTCCCAGACCATAATAAATAAGTAAGAAACTTACACCACCTCTCCCTAATACTCCATGATGCCCTGTATCCTACTTTACATTTTCCCGTATCACTTATTGTTGTAACATATATTGTATAATACTTTTTAAATTATATTTCTTTATGCATGATCTGATTCCCACCATTGAAATGTAAGCTCCACAAGAATAAAGTTGCTGTTTTGTTTTATTGCAACATTCCCTGCACCAGGAACTGTGCCTGGCATATGGTAAGCACTCACTAAATAGTTGATTAATGAATGAATGAATGAATGAACGAATGAATGAAAAAACTATTATTCTATAATTCTGTGTTATATATCTAGAATATATAAACCCAAATGTTTTTCTGGAAAGGACCCGCCAGCTTTAAAGAACCATCGGATGCTCAAATGGCCAGGAGACATCAATATTTTTTTGGTGCCCCAACATGAAGCGGATGTGTTAAAGCCACATTGAATGTGACAGAGAAGACACCAGAATGTAAGTCAAAAAAGATAAAACAAGGGGATCTACTTTCAAAAGCCATGTTCTCCACCTGTGATACAATTGGTCTGAGGGAGGGGAAATAGGGTTTCTCTGAGCAGTCCCTTACACTCTCAGGCCCAAACTAATGGTTGCAAAGGAAAGCAATTACTTTCCTTTCAAATCTCTGTAGGCAAGGTTATTTTTAGTCTTTCTCATAGCCTATTTTTAGGAAATCCAAGAAATATAAACAGAAGAAAAAAAGAAAGAAATGACATTTTTCCACAGGGGCTAACTTCCATGTGAAATTTAATGTGAGTGGGAAATGGAAAGAATAAGTTTAATCTACAAATGATGAAACGCCTAAATAAAAATGTTTTTAAAAAGTAAATGAAAACAATAAATCAAACATGGGACACATCAAGAACATAGGAGGAGATTTCAATTTTCCAAGACAATCCCATTGGGAACTCTCAAAAATCCAGATGACTTTGGCCATCAACACTTTCAATACATTTAAGATTTGGTGCTGGTCACTTAGTTGCACTACATGAGAAATATTTTTGACGCTCAGACCGACGGGAGGCGTTTATGTAGATCACAGATAAAATGCATCACTGACCCAGAACTTATTTTAATGAAAACATAATCACCCTCTAGTGACCATTTAATCATGATAGGCAGAAATTGAAAAAGATAGTCCCAAGATTTCCATTCTCATTCCTAGAACTGTTCATATTATAAGCTATCAATACCTGTCAATATGATATACAGCAAGGCAAAAGAGATGTTGCAGATATAATTAAGGTTACTAATCAGTTGACTTTAACATAGGGAGTTACTCTACATTGTCTAGGCGAGCTGAATCTAGTAACATAAGACCTTGGCAGAGGTTTTCTCTGGCTAGTCGCAGAAGGAGAAGTCAGAGAGATTTAAGTACTAGAAGGATTGGAAGTATCATTGCTGCATTGGAGGATACCGTGTGATAAGGATTGCAGGAAGTCTAAGCTGAAAGCAGATCCTATCTGACAGCCAGCAAGGAAACAGAGACCTCAGTTCCAAAACCACGAAGACTTGGATTCTACCAAAAACCTGAACGAGTTTGGAAGTGAATGATTCCCCAGGTTCTCCTGATAATAGCTCAGCCCAGCAGATAGCTTGACCTCAGCATTTTGAGACCCTAAGCAGAGAACCAAGCTGAGTTTGCCTGGCCTTCTGGTCTACAGAAATGTAAGATAATAAATGTATGTTGTTTAAAACTGCTGTTTTAATTTGTTAAAACAGCAGTTTTTTGTTATGGTTTTCTGTTATGTTTGTGATTTGTTATGTAACAATGGAAGACTAATACACATTTAGAGAGCAAAGTGAAACACAAAGAGATTTTCCAGAATTACTTCGTAAACCCCAATGTATTTAAAATGTTTAAAAGACTTTTTTTTCCTCTAATTTTACCAAAACATATCTGCATATTTTGTTTTACATTTGTCGCTAGAATCACTATTGCACAATCAGATCTTTGTCTTAACCCTGATTACATGTAAAATGTGCACACAACGAGAAGAGTTCTGAACACAGATAACCTCTCTGGGGAGGATTTTGGGATCGAATGGGTATACAGCAAAAGCCTGAATTCTGAGAAACACTCCCAATTCCATTCCACACTCTTCACCATTTTTCTTGTTTCCTCATAAACCAGGAACCCATTAACCTCAAGTTATTCTCTAGAGACCCTCCTGCTTCCCCTCTCTACTCCCTAGAGTGAGGAATGCCCACCCAGGCTGGCATCCCCTTGGACTGTCCAGATCCACTCAATCTAGAAAAAACACTGGGTTCATGTTGTCACTCCCTTCTTGCACCCATGTCCCTTCCAGTGCAACTTCATATTCTTTCTGTCTATAGCAATTTGGCACCTCCTGGGTATCAAGATGGAACACTAGGTGAGCCCTATGTCAAATTTTTCACCTCATCCATTCACTACCTCTACTTTTCACTATTAAAAAAGTAAACAAACTTAATTTCTCTCGGTTAATGTGAATGGGAAAGCAATTTGATTAAAACATGTCAAGGTATAATTAGTGTATCTAAAGGAAGAAATGTATCTAAGGGTAGAGTTCTTTATCTGGAAAAATTACAGTCCATGTGACAGAAGAAGAGACCCACAAATATGAACAAATGACTTGGGGTAACTCTTCCAAGAACATTAGAAGAAGGCTTGCAAGTTACTTTCTATGCTCCCATCAGCCTTAGTAACAGGGGAAGAGAATGGATATAAATGAGAGAGCATTGTGGTTACATAGTGGGCTTTTTTTTTCTGCCATCAATATGGGATTCTAAGTGAATACAAATGAATGTAATATGGTGGCCTAAGGACAATTATTCTGACCTTAAATATTCATTTGTCCTGCAGATGGTACCCCACCTCTTTTATCCAAGAATGGATCCAAATGATCACTTTGTTAGCAAGGTTTCTTAGGGTGTTTATTACTATAGGAAGCTTCTGCCTCATAAATTTGGAATATGCTACAGAGGTCTCATGCAGGAAAGCAGTTGAACTGTACTTACCCAGAGAGAAAGATCCGGATGACTGCATAAAATATGTCTGGATCAACATAATCTGGAGAAGCAATCAAAATGTGAACTTTACTACAGGCAAAAAAAGCAATTGGTTACATGTGCACGGGTCCTACTGCTCTCTTGGGGCCACCCCCTCTATCTGATCTGCACGGAAACCTGGAAGGAAGGCAGCAGCAAGAGGGGGATGGAATGTTCTCTTCTGTAGCCCCCTCACTGGCACTGGCCAAACTTTTAAACTATTCCAAATGCTGCCCTTTTCTATTTGTGGTGCTTCCCTTTTCTGGACTTAATAACTACAAAAGAAGAGATCAAGGCCATCTTTGAAAAATTAATATTTTAAACAGACATGATATTTGAGAGAATGTAGGAAGTAGAAAGGAGAAAAGCAGAGAAAAAGAATCACCTCTGTCCAGGCTTTCACAAGAGAGGAAAACTCAAGTTGTCAATGCTCAGGCGAAGTTCTATATAGGCGACCAAAGATGGAGGAGTGGAGAGGCTCTTGCCCAGGGATTGCCACACCAGGTCAGATATAGGCTCATTTAGCTCCATGTTAAGCTGCATTCATTAATCTGTGCAGCTATTTTTGGCTCTAAGCCACTGCTTGGGGATAACTTATTCCACTAGTTTATTAACTTGTATATAAAGAAGGGTGTCCTCACATTTGTACTAAATTTCTTTTCATTAACTTTTGAAGATTGTTCTCTCTTCTTCACATAATGGGGCCCCTCTGTGAGCTGGTATGTTTCTTTTACCTGGATCCTGTCTATGTTTCTTTGTTTCTCTTTGAGAAAAAACAAAACAACACAGCAAAACAAAAACAAAAAAATCCACATCTTTTTTATGAGACCCAAATAATGTCATCTCTATACCATCAGTTATCTTTTCTACCATCATACCTAGTCTCTGTTCCTCTATCTCTATGTTCTCTGAAGGCCCATGTGCTCAGGTAATTCAGATATTCCTTTGGTCCCAGGATTTCCCAATGCTCCTGAGTGGTGTCACATTCTCTCTACTCTTCTGTGACAATGTTCCATGTGCTGGCCTTTTATTGGGCCCTGTTTCCATGTCTTTCCCATCTGGTGCCCTATTCCCACAAAAATGCTAAGCATTATGTACAAATTTTCTCTGAAACAGTAATGACTAGCAATAATTTAATATTTTATCTTCTAAAGTAAAATCATTAGTCAATAGATATAAAATAATTTCAGTGTAAAAAAAGTCAATAGATGTAAAAATATCCATTTATGATTGTAACAAATAAAAAAATTAGCCAATTAGGAATAAGAGGAACAATTTTGAAATGATAAAAAGAATCCACAGAAAGCCATTTCAAGTATACATTTTATACTTGAAAGATTAAAAATAAGTATTTGAAAATGTGGAACAAAACAAGGATCAACACATCCATTCAACAATATGGTGTTAGAAATTTTAGCCAGAAGAATAAGAAATATATATATATATAAAGAAATAAAAGTTATAAGTATTATACATGAAGGAACAAAATAATTCTCAAATAATATGATTTTCACATAGAAGACCCAGATAATCTGCAGATAATCATTAGAACTATTAGAATTAATAATTAGAATAAATTAATAAGAATTTTTTCTATAAACCAGTAACAAACAGGAGTTAGTTAAAATCAAAAGATACCATGTTCACTAGAAACAAAAAATAAAGTAACTATGAAAAAAAAGAAGATATCAAAGTCTCTTATTTTGAACGAAATTAAAGAAAATTTAAGAAATTCAAGAAAAAATTTGTCTCTACTGATGGACAAAAAACTCAGTATCAGTATCAAAGAGAAGAAGTGTATCTAAAAAAGAGTTATCTATCTGGATAAGTTTTAGTTCACATCCAATAGTATGAAGGCATGATTTCCAGTACCTTGTCCGACTACCTTACTTAGCGTTTCTGTGGTATTCTCTGATTGTCCATCTGCCTTGATCATAAGGCAGAAAGACTGGATATAATATCAAAATCATGTAAATTTTCTCCAAATTAATATACAGATTTAATGCAACAGGAGCAAATTTTTTTAATGTTTATTTTTGAGAGAGAGAGAGACAGAGAGAATGAGTGGGAGAGGGTCAGAGAGAGTAAGGGGGACAGAGGATCCGAAGCGGGGTCTGAGCTTAAAGCAGTGAGCTGATGCAGGGCTTGAACTTATGAACCATGAGATCATGACCTGAGCCGAAATGGCACACTCAATTGACTGAGCCACCCAGATGCCCTAGCAAAAATTTTAACAGAGATTTTTTTCAGAGCAGTTTGAAAAGCTGATTGTTTACATGAAAGACAAAATGTTGGAAATAGTACAGGCACCTCTGGGAAAGAAGGGCAAGAGACAGGGGTTTTCTTCACCTGAAAGAGACACTATGAAGCTATAGTTCTGAAGACAAATGATATCTCTGTTGGGAAAGGTAAACAATGACAAAGAGTAGGAAACCTGGAAACAGAGCCAGTCATTTAAGAAAATCTGTTATAAAACAGTGCTAATATTGCAGATTAGTGATTCTTCAAAGAAGGGACACTGAATTTATTTCCTTTGTCATATTACATATAGATAACAATTATATGTGAATTAAGGACTAACATGTGAAAGACAAAACAACAATTTCAGAAGAAAATGCAGCAAAATATACTTATCAACTATGATTATGAAATAATATCTTATGTAAGACTTCCCCAAACACAGACTTTTGCAAAAGAAATGGCAGATACTTTGACTATACGAAAATTAAGAACTTCTGCTTTCAAAAGTCATAAGGCAAACCACAATATTTGCAACACATATAACTAATGAAGATCAGTCTTCTGGGGTTTACAAAAAACTTTTTAAAAATCAGGAAGTAAAAGATAAAAGACCATTAGAAATATAAGGAAACACATGCATTCACAAAAGAGGAACATGCGTGGTGAGCACCCACAAGGACGCACGCACACACACAAACACACACACAGGAGACAGTTAAATCAGGGAATGCAGGAGTGACATCAACATCATGGTAAAATAAAAGTTTTCTACTGTCTTTCCCACAAAGAACACTGGCTTAGACAATCACACACAGACAAGAGGGCCTTTGTGAAAGTCCAGGAATTCAGTGGGGAATTTCCAGCACACCACTGAGCAAAGAGATCCAGAACTGGATGCACTGAAGAGGGTAAGAACATTTCACTGTGCTCACATCACCCCTTCCACAAGGCAGCACAGCTCAGTGCTAAGAGAGATCTCCTAGGGCTGTGATTTTTCCAGTAAGGGAAAATGAGAGCATAAGATTGCGTGCCTGGCTTCCCCAGCTGCAAGGAATGCCGGCGCGCAGACCCACTTCTTTCCCATCCCATCCAGAACACTGAGGTGTCCTGCACAACTAGGGAGCAGAGGAGCCTGGGGGTACGGAGGGACTAGGAGAATGCCACATAGGGCTTTTGGCTGGGGGGTGGGGGATTAAAGGGAGGCAGATTATACTGATCGCCTCACAGATTCCATTAAGAACCCCTCCCATGAGATGCTGGGAATGCTTCACCCGCAGATCACCCTAACTAGCCACGGGTGCCCCTAGGGCTCAGGGTGTCTCACAGCTACACCTTCACCCACTCTGGCCACCTCCTTGCGTGCACTGCTGAAAGCAGAAAGGGTGAGCCTCTGATGTTGATTCGTGAGCTCCTCCAGCAAGGTGGCTGATTCTATGGGACTGGAAGAAAGCACACGACCTGAGCCTTAAACACTGCCCCAGGGAAAGCCAATGTTAGGTGGTCAGCACCTGGCCTGACTTTGCAGACCTAGAAAAGGCATATGGCAATTAAAACTTTTGCCAAGAGGGGCGCCTGGGTGGCGCAGTCGGTTAAGTGTCCGACTTCAGCCAGGTCACGATCTCACGGTCCGTGAGTTCGAGCCCCGCATCAGGCTCTGGGCTGATGGCTCAGAGCCTGGAGCCTGTTTCCGATTCTGTGTCTCCCTCTCTCTCTGCCCTTCCCCCGTTCATGCTCTGTCTCTCTCTGTCCCAAAAATAAATAAACGTTGAAAAAAAAAAATAAATAAAACTTTTGCCAAGAGAGGGAGCAAGAAGTGTGGAGCAGGTGTATGCACAGGAGGTCTGAGAAAGCCTCAGAATCCCCGCCAGGGCTGATGGAAGGTGTTTCTCTCCTGAAACCAGTCAGTAAATACTGGAGAAAGTGAATAAATAACTTCTTCACATAATTCCTGCAGCAATGCCAAGCTTCAAGGAGCACAAAATATCAAGGAAACATGACATTACCAAAAGAAAAAATAATTTCCCAGTAACTGACCCTAAAGAAATGCAGACCTGTGATTTGCCTGATAAAAACAAATCAGAATATATTTTTTAAATTAATTTATTATGTATTTAGAGAGTGTGAGCAGGGAAGAGAGACAGAAGGAAAGAGAGAGAGAATATTAAGCAGGCTCCATGCTTATCACTGAGCCCCCACACAGGCCTCCATCCCGCGACCCTGGAATCATGACGTGAAATCAAGAGTCAGACACTCAACCAACTGGGCCACCTAGATGCCCCCAAAATATCTGTTTTAAGGAAGCTAAGTAAACTACAAGAAAACATAATAAGACAATTCAATGAAATTAAGACAACAACACATGAACACAATGAGAATTTTAACAGAGGAAAAAAAATCAAAAAAGAACAAATTACCAGGAAATATATTTTGGCAACTGACTCTGAACGGTGTTCAGAAAATACCAAGTAGAGAACCTCCTCCTCAATTAACAGTGATCTGGTAAGGTAAGAGAACCACGTATGCACTCTTACTTCTAGGTCTAATGTGTGCACATTTTGGCTAAGAAGGGCAGTTCCTAAAAGCCAATGACACAGAGGACCTAAGAACACACCTGAGTTACATCTCCTCTTTTTCCCTCCATGTGGCTTCCTAGAAGAGCAGGAAAATGACACCAAGGACTGCAGCTTCTGCCCAGATGGCCAAGCGCAGGTTCATTTACTGCCTGGCTAGCCATCACCCAGTGTTTCTAAGGTTGTTGTTCAGCAAAACACAAAACATTTT